AACACTTTACCGTCAGCTCAAGGTTTGAGAAAATGCATGGAAAATGTAGAAACTTTGTTAAAACATTTATGGGAAACCGAGTTATTTTCATTTACTTATTAAGATTACGAGTGACAGTAAATCTTCTCTGGTTTGCGAACCACGACACTGTTTTTATACCGTTTTGAGATGAAGCTGTTTCTGCTGCTCGTTAGCAGCGGCAATATTTTTATATAATTACAATGAAGTGACTGTACATAGGTCGTTGCCTATTGTCAGCTGGTGAACAATGTCCGAAGTCTTTGAAAAGCTTTTATGTGTTCTGAAAGAGATGGAAATCCTCATTTGGAATCCAAACAGTCTCGGCGTAAAAAACCAAAAGGGATGAAGGTATAACCATAGAGTTAACAATACACCAGACAGGACTACCTGATTTTGTGCCGAAGAAAACGATTTTTTCCTCTATGGCTCTACAGATATTTCCAAGTTTCTTTACGAAAAGATCCGAGAACTCCGGGAACGGATAAAAGTTTCCTTAAAGAGGAGCTTGAAGTTTTTTTTAGTGCTTAACCCATTTGGATTCCAAATGTGGACTTCGAGAACTTGGAGAGTGGTTAAAAGTTCTTTCTGAAGGCGCAAGCAACAGCTAACGATTTCGTAGAATTAAGGCATAACTGTTGATTAATGTTAAAATGATATCTTATCGTCGGACATAAATGGACTTGGCTATATTAAAATCCGTAAAAATTCGATTTTCGTCTAAAAACATTAACTAAAAATTTGCCTGGGGAGTTATATCAACACGTATTTTTCTTCTTGATCCTCCTTATTTACGTATGAACACGGTCGGGCCAATTCCTTAATTAATTAAAAATATAACTGTATCAAAGTCGTACCTTGCGGAATTTGCCATAGGCGAGGAATTTATGTCACGCAAATTTCATAGTTATAAGCTGCTCTGAAGCTTGCATAGCTCTCTGGGCCTCATTCTCTCCGGCGTTGTACCGGAGCGGAAATGAAAATGAAAATCAGGAAAATTATTCTTAGAGATCAAGAATTGGGACGTGCAATGAGAGAAACGATGTGACGAAATAGACCTTCTGATAATTACTGCAAAAATGGTTCTAAAATTATAAACTAAATTTAATTGGATCAAGGTATTTCTACTTTCTAAAATTTAATGAGGTACCATTCATTTGGTCCTATTCAAAAACTTGGAACGAATTACAAGTGGTTTCGCTTCTTTATGAAAAGGTATTAACTGCGAGTATTTCTGCATGAAATGTGTCCACATATCACTTTAATCTTCCAGATCAAAGTAAACTTGTCTGTTGTAAAATGCATATTAAAATTCTCTCTCGGTACTTTGCATAAAAATGGTGTGGTACTTATCTTGATATTTAAATGTCTAGGATACTGAAAACTTGTTGGTGCTCCTCAACGCGACTCGTCAATCCCATCGGCGAGCCATCATCGACAATAGAGAGCCCGGGAGCTTCCCTTTTTTTCGCATTTTTGCTCACTCGTAAAAGCCGGGTGGCCCCAACTTCCAGCAAAAAAAACACAAAAGCACACGAAGCCTTACAGGCTGAAAGCTTTTTGTTTAAGTCCCAGTATTGGCTTTTGGTGTTGGACAGCATCATGTATTATGGCTTTATTCAAAATGACCGCGTGTACAATGGAGCGAGAGAACTTATATATCCTTAGAGAATTTTAAACTCGTCTTGACTTAAAGTTGAAAAAGAAAACCCAGTGGTAGAATTAAGTGAGAATTCTAATACAGTAAATAACGTTTAGTAAGTGAGTCCTTAAATACGACGTGCTATAAAATGTTTGCAATTTAAGGGAAATTTACCAGTTTATTTGGCATCTACGAAGTAGAGTCATAATCAGGAGAAGTTTCGAAAAATAAATCGTCATTCCACCGTGTTCCGTCATAGTATACTCAACAAGTGGACATTTCTCTTGATTTGTTTGGGCGCCGTTTCACGGCGAGACTCTAGACGCAAAGTTAGCGAATGAGATTCCCGATTCTTTCTGCATTTCGTCGTTTTCCTTCACATTCGCGTCGAATGGCCCACCTGTATGGCGTATTTGAATATGAACGCCTTTCACGAATTACTATTTTATCTAGCAAATTATAAGTAAATTAGATACAACGATGTCCACGGCAGAATGCTACGATTGAAATAAAGCAGTATTGCCGTTTTATTTTTTATCCGTGAATTTGTTAACGAATATTAAGCCAGGCATTTGAAGCAGTAATTAGACGAAAATACTGCAGTACGGAAACCCAATTAATAGAGTTCATATTCGGTGGCAGTGCGAATACTAAAACTCCATGATTTCGAGCCGCACAGAATGCATTCGATTGCCGAGCAAATAACGAAATTTCAGATGAACATTCAAAAAACCGGCAAAAATTTTAACGACCCGATGGAACGTTTGTCCAGCTGTTTGCCTAACTCGGGATTTTCGGAACTCGTTCTGAATAGAGGTTCGCCAAACTGCAGAGTGCAGCGACACATCGTATAATTCGGAGCATAATTCAGAATCACTTTCGAAAATTCGACCCGCAAATCTGTTAGAATCCTTTTCGAAAAGCTCTATGGTGAGAAGGGATCTGCGGTCACGGGAAGCCGGTTATTGTGTCGGGTCGATTTCTTTTCACGTGGCAGAAAGCTGTGTACACGGGAGACGCTAAGTCCTTCCGAGGGATGTTATTTTGAAAATCTTTCGCGAAATCCTTGCCGAGATACTTGAAAAAGTTCTTAACGGGGTTATGAGGCATCTTTTAAGGCCTGGGATCACACTTACGTCGTTCTGACGCAATGACAACGGGCATGTATTTAAATGGGGAGATCATATGCCGCGATTCGCCACTGTGTGGAATCTCCTTCATTTAAATACATGACTTTGGGTTTACTGCAATGCAACCGTGAAGGTACGATTCCGACGACAAAAGCACTGCTATGATCCTGGTCTACATTTTTTCACTGAGGACTTTTTAAATTCAAATGAAACTACCGTATGAATCAGGTCACCTGGACTTCTTAAGGAGGGTTGAAAAATTGTCATACTTTCACTTCAGATGAACTCCTTGAAAATCATGCGGAATATTTGTAAATTAGATTTATAAATTGTTGCATTTTAATATAATGCCCTGCGTTATTGTAACATTTTGAAAGTAGATATTTGCATCTCTCGTCGCGGAACGCTGAGAAATGTTGCGTCGTAGATATTATATTTTATTTTGTTGGATCGATATTATACTTTATTTCGTTAAAACGTCCTGCTAAAGTTTTTCACGAGTTATTTCAGCTAGAATAATTAAAATATAACCAGGTCGAACATATCGGAGTATTCTTGTTTATTTATAAAAATATTTTTGGATCTTGGTGAGAGAGCCCACTCAGGAAAGAGAAGTGCGATTAACTGTTTTAAGAGCCCTTTCAAAATAAGGAAAAATGGCGTGCAGATATCCCCTTGAACTATTGACACGACGTTACGTAAACGATTGAAACGTAAAAATGTTGTCCAAACAACTTCCCACTTTTCTGAAATCGCTTTGAAACTCCGACGGCAATTCCAAGTCGGTGACTCGTTTTAAAAACAAATTTATGAGGAATTTGGACAAATATCCGGACTTTACAGTTGCCGGTTGACATCGTTGTGGATTCCATTCCGTCGTGTCGCAATTTTCCCTCTGATTAAAAGTATGCCGCTTTATTGTGTTTTTCTCCTTCAGCATAACGTATATAAAGTCGTAAAATTCAATCTCAGGTATTTGCAAAATTAGGGCAACTTTGAGCCGAATCGGGAGTTGTGGATCCGCATCCGGGATATTAATGTTCGACGCAAACTCGTAATTACAGGAAAGCTTACGTTTGCCGTGTCACCAAAACTGTTGTTAATTTGGCAGATTTCACGGAAAATCGACAAAATCCCTGATTACATACTCGTGACTGAATCTAGAAGTGCTGATATTATTTCATAACGAGTTTTCGTGGAGTTAGGCAGACGCGGATATTCCCTGGAACTTTGCCCTTTGTTAATAGGTTAACGAACGTATCCTTGTTTCAATAATAGCCGTTTAATCCGCTATTGAAAAAAAAATATGAATAATTCCTTCTATGGAGTTTGTAAGAATTATTTCGTTACTCCGATTATTCTACGATTATCGGTAATCGTTCGTTCGGACGGTAGTAGAATGGTAAATTTTCGTAAGGGTAATGTCGAAGTGATCGACCGAGACTCAAAGTTAAGTATCTGTTCAGCTTAAAGTATACTGACGAAAGTTTCGAAGCATCGATTAGCCAACTCGAAAGTTAACCGGCCCAGAGCGTTAAATTTGAGCCAACTAAGCCCGTTCTTAAGTCCCCATTATTCTCAAAACACTGCACTGCATTACGACTATTTTCGGTTCACTTGCCTAAGAACATTAAACACTACCGTCCCTTAAGATGTTCCCTCTCTCGATTTTACGACGAGGAAAGAATCGTAGAAGCCGACCGTCCGGATTTCCATCCTTTATAATCCACTTCTTTGGATACCGAAAACGCCGACTGGAGTGTTTTCACACGTACAAAATTTGAACGAAAAATAAATTTCATAACTCCAGGAATAAATAAATATCGACTTCCGTGGGCTAGTAACAACGTCATATTTGTAGAATTCTGAAAAGCAATTTAATTTGTTCCGTGCTCATAGATGGTGCGTTGTTTTTGGGCTTGAATCCCCGCGGCCACGATCGGTTATCACAAATGGCGTCGAAATTTTGCCGTGATGATTTAGCGCAGCCGAGAGCAATAAATTTCCCGGAAATTTGTTAAGTGATATGACACTAATCCGCCATAAGCTGGCACGGAGGAAGAATAGGATGAACCGGTGAATCGCGATCAAGGATCCGTTCCGGTCGCTGCGGTAATCCGGATGAGACTTTTGTTGGCCCGGCCGTCGCGTTTACTTGAAATTGACGTATCAAGCGGACATTACTACTCTCGACGGGGATAACCTAGAAAATGGTGTCGAAAAGGATTAAGTACGCTCTGGCGCATCTCTCGCGCAAGCAGCACATCGAAATCCTGGCCAGGCCCGTCTGGAGACGCCTCGAGAAGAGAAATGTGCACTGCCTGGTAAGGTTATTTGCCACCCTATGAGACACCGACGTCTGCTACCCTCCCTAAGAATTAATGAGCTTACCGAGAAACCCCGGAAAAGTTGCCGACTCCTTTTAAATCTAACGAGCTCAAATTATTCCTTAGTCGAATTTCTCGAAACTGATGAAATTATTATTTTTTATTGCTATCAGAAAATTTAGCTTACCGAGAAACCCCGGAAAAGTTGCCGACTCCTTTTAAATCTAACAAGCTCAAATTATTCCTTAGTCAAATTTCTCGAAACTGATGAAATTATTATTTTTTATTGCTATCAGAAAATTCAGGATGACCGGGGGTTCATTTACAGCTAAAATTTTATCGCAATACCGGAGCGACAAATAATCCCAAATTAAATACAGGAAAGATAATGGAAAAATTTCTCGTGACCTCAATAAGTATTCCTCGTGTGGTTACTTCTAGGTAGGGAGACCCAAAAGTTTTTCTTTTTTTAAATCAAGGAAACGTCGTTTTAATTGTTCCTGATTGCAGACAACGATACAACACCGAGAAAAATATTTCATTGAACCAAAGAAATATATCTTTGGATACTACCAAAGAAATATTTTGTTAATTGCTAAATCACTTATTTCGCTCAAATTAGCTCGAATAAATCGGATGCAACGTTTATTCGGAACAATGACAATTTATTCGAGTCAAATGATTATTCTTGGAATTAACAAAATATTTCTTTGGTACCATTCAGATATATTTCTTTGGTTCAATAATTTTTTTTTCTCCGTGTACATGTATTACGCTCTGTCTCCTGTTTGTACTCCAAAGTGCCTTTAAAATTTTTAAGATTAAAAAGGCTAAGCCTAAATAAGAAATTATTAAGTATAAAATCTAGCAAAAATCTGTTTCGTGATTTCTTTAAATTCATCGAAATTGACCTTGACGGAATTAAGTTTCTTATTCTGTTTGCCCTGATGACTTTTTACTCTAAGTAACGGCGCCATGGTCTCTCGCGGGTCTATACATTTCGATTATTTGGGGCGTCGACCTTTCTTAAAGAGCGCGCAATTTAATGTTTAAAAACTAATTACGGGACGATATGCCCGCGCAGTACTGAGATTTCCGCGGTAAACGGAAAGTAAAAATGAAATTCCCCCCTTCAGTCGTCGGCGTTCACGGTGAATCGGGCCGCCTTGAAGTGTCGAACCTCGAAGCGCCTGAAGATCATGGCGCAGCCGAGAAGCATCAACAAAAAATACGACCCGGCGTAAGTGAATCATTCCTTCCGACCGGGCCGCCGAGTCAAAAGACAACGGCGGTATGTGACTTTTCTTTGTTCAGAAAGGCGCCTCCCTATGTGCCGCGTATCCATCCAAAGACGCTGAACGCTACGCCGAGTAAACGCGTCATGGATCTGGCTCTTCCGAGGAAGTGGTACGCCCGTTTCCGCGTTTGCTCCTTGCTCTCGTTACCCGTGACTCGTTAGCCTCGCGGCCCAGGAAGTCAAAGGGAGGACTTTGATGTGCCAACTTCTAGTAACATTCTCTAAAAGTATGGCGCTTTCCTTCCACCGACCGGCTTCAATACCGGGAACGAGTACAAAAAGTACCGCGGTTGCGCTTCTCTCTGCAACCCCCTCAGAACCCACCCCTGTAGTTCGAGCTCCAGCGAAAGGTTGCATCACCGATTGTATTTAAAATCGGAGTACAGGCTCCACTTGCTACTTCCTTTTCAGTTTCCGAGGTAGGCTTACCTATCTCCGCTAAATTGCGGCTCCCCGAAGAAGCTCGGTGGGAGGACAGTGGAAAGAGTTATTTTTATTTATTCACATAAATACGTTTCCATTTGTATAAAGGCCGATGCGGTCGCCTTTCCTATTATTTATGAAAGTACACACAGAAAAAAGTCTGTTAAACTTACAGAAACATCTGCAAAATGTACCGATTTTACCTGTTGGAATAGGGACAGCAGATTATTTCTGTTAGCGTTACGGTCAAGTTTCTGTTACTCGATTCCGTACAGATTACAGGTAACTATCTGTAGAGATTACAGGAAAATATTAGTAAGTGTTACAGATAAACATCCGGAAGTAGTACGGATAAGTAACTGTAAAGAATACAGATTGATACATGTAAAAATAACAGAATAATACTGTGAAGGTAACAGGAAATTTTTGTAAAGGTTGCAGATAACATTTTGTAATAGTTACAGATATACGTTTGTAAGGTGTCACGATATTGAAGTGTTAATTTCAGTATCTTCCCAAATTCCTAAATACTTTTTTTAATGGTATATTCTCCCATATGTCAAAACAGACATCTGAAACTCCTTTACAATCAAGAATGAATCATATTCAATCTTTTCAATGGTTAGAAAGGAGTTTTTGATTTCCGTTTTGTCATTCTGGATACCTATAGAATATAAGTATACCATTAAAATGATTGTCAGGAATTTTGAGAAACTCCAGTATAAACACTTCGATGTTACAGTTTAAAGGTTGCATAACATTCAACTTGAAATTTCTTTATTTATAAAACAGTCAACTATTTTTTTTTATTTTGTAAAGAATACTTTGGATTTTTCACGTACATAGGAACTTATTAAGGTTTGTCACGATCTTTAGAATTCTCTGAAAAACATGAGGTAAAATTTTTTGTAGAAGTTCGTCCAAATAGATTTACTTACCTGAATGTGAAGTTATATATTACGGATACAATAATTAATATGAAAATACTAATAGTGAACAGGAACCGAGAGTTATTAGCATCGAGGCTGATCGAGGCATCGCGTCGCGTCATTCACCAGAAAAAAGACATTTCCGATGCGCAACTGCTCGTATGCACATTCGACTGTTTAACCCCTTAACTTGTGCACTCGAGTTAATTCGAGCGAGCTAAACAGGCCAAACTGTGCACACTCGAGATAATTCGAGCGGCGTTGTATTTTATGCTACTACAATTTTTCATCCTCGAATATAATCGAGAATTTTATTTTTTTGCCAAGACAATGTTCTAGTGTTTTTTTTACATCAAAAAAATCTTTTTTTGTCCGGTTTTTTTTCAAAAAAATCTGTGCGTTAAGGGGTTAACACTTTAACGACCGCTCACACAACATGTGTGTGATAGATAGTGTGATAGATAGAAGGGCGGTCGTTAAAGTGTTAATGTGGATGCTTGCGTATAGCACTTCTACGAATGAAATCTGTAGATTTAACAGATTCAATCTGGGAAATCATCAGTTTTTATCCATAACGCTTACCAATATGTCTAACCTTTCCCAAAACGATATCCTAAACAGAGTGAATCAACAGATATTTTTGTTCCTCCTGCAATTTTATAATGCTTCAAATATCCCAGTTTTATCTCTATCAATGTTAATAGCCATTTTCAGCTGCTTTTACAGATGGTTCTTACAGAAATGTTTCTGCTACCTGTACATGTGAGAAAGTAAGGTTAGCTGAATTAAGGTGAAATGAAACCCCCTTCAAATCAGCCGATTCGAATACAACAATTTTTTTTAAGGGTATTAGACCAAACTGTCCTAAACTTTGACACATCACTCCTGACCATCTAAGAATTGTCCAGACACATTCAAAATTTGGATTTTTGCAAAAACTTTTTTAACTTAGCCCAGACCAGAACCAAAATGGCGTCGAGCTCTCATATTTCGATCGATATACAATTATCGAAGGCTCTGATATGAGAAACGGAAGGGTCAGGACAATTTTACGACAATTTAGAACACTCTGGTAATCGATAAACTCGCATTTCAACGGGATAAAGGCAAAAAAAGTGTTGTATGCGCTTCTATGCTAAAACGATGGGAATACGAGGTCTCGGAGTGAAAATTTAATTGACCTGGAAATCACAGATGGCGCAGGGGGTCCCTCTGCAGTCAATTAGGGCCCCAGGAAGCACGAACCCAGAGGATTTCTGGAGTTTTACTTCGATTTCTTGATATTTATTGTACGAAAACGACAGGTGAAGTATGCCATTAGGTACAATCTCGAATATAATTCGATACAGCTGTCAATATAAAAACGAACGTCGGCAACGTAGGCATTTAGAAAAATCTTCTTTATCGACGTCGATCAAGTTCCTCGACATGTTTCACTTCACCTTAATTGTTTCATGGGACAGCTTTTAACTGTATCGAGAACAGACGTATCCAACAGATAGTCATCTGTAACTTTTAAGCTCTTATTTTTCTCCGTGATAAGAACATCCTGACGAGCGGTATTTTCATTCCTTTTCCCATTTCAACGTGCTCGTGCATTGACGAAAAATAGTATTAGACGTTATCTCGCGAGCTGTGATATAGGCGCCAGTCCCTAAACAAGATACGATATATAACTACAGTTTGTAAAGTTAGATTGGAAGAGTTTTTTTTTGTATGTGTGTATCGTATCCCTTTTAGGGATTGGCGCCTATATCGCGACTACTTTATCTCAGGGTGGAGGAATCGTTATCGGGTCGTAACGCGAGCCTGGATGCGTCTTACGGGACGCGTCTCATCGATCCCGATCGGGATCGAAGGACCCGAAGAATCGAGGTTGAGAAAAGCCGGAGAAAATTTCTCGGACCCCGCGGAACGTCCAAACTTTAATCATACGGCGTCTGTTGATATCAAGGCTCTCGGGCGGCCCCGACGGTAGCACTTCTCCGAACTTCCTTAACGACGTTAATGCTACGTTATGAACTAAGAAATTCAATTCTAACGTCGCGGGGGTGTCCGCAATAGTTTGGCCGGGGCTGAAATAATGTCCCGGCTGAAATAAGGGAAACGTTGCAGCGGCAATCCCGTGGGACGCATTTCCGGGGGGGGGGGGGGGGGGTTCGGTCGAATTGCAAGCCCTCGGCGGGATCGGGACGCCGAAATCGTCCGAGAGAGCATCAGGCGCGCACCTTCTAATCCATCAACCTTCATCAGCACGGTGGTAGCGACCAAGCGTTTCGCCGAGGGGAACAGGACGATGACACTGACGGTGGAGAATCTGCTGACGAGGATACGGAAGTCCCGGTACCAGAGGTACCGGCTGCTCTGCAACGCCCTGGCCCACCAAGCCGCAGCCAAGGAGTAAGAATCGAGCGAATCTCGTCTGATAGAGGTGCGGTAGATGGTCCGACGAGGTCCCCACGGGTACTCGGTAGCCCCGATATCTAACCCCGACCCTCGGTGCCGTGAGATCAAGTCGTAATGCTCGCGGGAGGTATCGAGGCAAATCTATTATACCCCGTGACCTCGCCCAGGAATCAGATTTCCCTCGGATTTATCATGACGTCGAGGGACGTGTTTTTTGGGGCTCGCAGTTTTACGTACTTTTGACACGGGCGAGTCGTTAGACGTTTGAAATAGGTACGCCGAGATGTATGGGATGATGGGCGGAGTGGGCCGTTTAGCGGAAGGGACGTTCCATGTTAAAATTGGAATAGATATCTTAGGAGTGTTATATTCTTGATTAAAGGGATCTTCTATGCAAAATTCCATCAACGTAATGGGCCCTTTCCTGGCCTCGAGCATAATTCGAAAAAGAAGGGACTGTCTACCCTTTGAAATATGAATCTCGTAGGAAACGAGTTTTGAACAGTGGAAAGTCCATTCGCCGGACTCGCGGGGAAGGAACTCGTCGGAAGGCCCGCAGCGCTTGATAACGTCTCCTGATAGAGTTCCCGTGATTAGAGGTGAACCGAAGTCGTTATTTTTTTTCCCCTTTTTTAGGCACTTCCATTAATAACCTATAAATATTATGCGGAGGAGTTTAAAATTACGCCGGACCATCTTGGACACGTAGCTGCTATCGATTAGTCTTTTATCGGGCCAGGGGATTCCCGTATACCCTGATCTAAATCCTGACCTAATCGTCATCCAAACACTATCTAAACGCCATCTGAGCGCCATCTAAACACCATTTAAACGACATCTAAACGCCATCTAAATGCATTCTCAACGTGACATAAACGTCACTATCAGCGCCTATCGACTTGGACCGAAAGATCGCGCACCCTCTTAGCGCCCCTGGCACCGAGAGGCGCGAAGGAACCCCCAAGGAAAGATCATCTTCCGTCAGGGATCGCCGGGATGGAGGTGCGAAATTTAATGTCTCTGGCGAGCACTGACGTCGAGATAATGGGATTCCCATATTCCGAGATGGATGCCGGTTAACGGACTCCTCGTTCGACTCGTCCGGGCTCGGGGTGAGGGTGCGGCCACGAGTCGGGCTGAATAGGGGCGCCTTATAGAGGGAAACGGGTTAGGGGTGTGCCGGCCTGGGCGGAATTAACGCGAGCCCAGCGCCGAATGGAGCTCGCTGTACACAGAAAAAAGTGGATTCATCACTTTCGTTTCACTCGGGCAAAGTCGGCCGGTAAATAGGTTTCCAGGGGTGCCGCGGCATTTTCGTCATTCTCATCCTCCGCGAGGGATGAGAGGGCTCCCATTATGACGAGGAGGATTCCCCGAGCGATTTAAATTTATTTAGCGTTAACCGTGGAATCGTTTTGAATTAATCTGGAAGCTGCGGCGTAATTATACTTCTTCTAATTGTAAGAGCGGTCGAGACCTGCCGAGTTAGGGAAAATTCAGAATACGTGGATTAATCGTTCGTTGCGAGGGGAGGTTTCCGACTTGGAATTCTAAAATTGACTGACGGGCTTGCGTGAAATAAATCTTAGAACTGAAGGTATCGATCTTTCTTTTTCTTGATTCTGGGATGTCGGGGAAGTCTACACCTCGTTATACGATTTTATGTGAAATAGATTGTACGCAGTGGGGACACGTACTCGGCGAGGAATGAAATACTGCCAGTAGGGGAAAGTTGGGTGGTATTGGAAACTTGAACTTTTATACGTTTATGGTATAAATTTTGTCATAGGGAACGGTAAATACGATGGTTTCCCTTGTACATTTTTAAAGTTGTAGGGGATAATGACGTACCATTTGTGATTATTTTATAGCGAGTTAACAATTACGTACTTCATTCAACGCCGATCCTACATTTTTTTATTAATTTCTATTAGTAGATACGATAATAATGCTAAATATAATAACATGATGAATCTGTGATTTCTTTCGTCCACAGGGCTAAGCTGCAAAAGAAGTTGCACAGAGCCTTGACAAAACCCAGTGATTGGGAACGGCATAACCAAGTCCTGGAGAGAATCGCTCAGCCCAAAACTGTCCCCAAGCCGAAACCCATAGTAATGAAATTACATTTCCATTACAGAGGTTCGATTTGATCAGAATTAAGTGGAAACAATGGCGCGCCTCCCATATTACGATGTCCTGTAATAACACGAGAGGTCCAAACTCACGGGGAGCGTTCCGGGTTCGGATTAGTTTTCCCATATTCATGTCAACGAAGTGAGATTATTTGGATGCCCCTACATTCTCCAGACCATAAAAAGCCTCTCCCAATATCCAACGGTTCACCAGGAAAGGGACAAACTTGCATTCCTGCGTTTCTATAAACAAAAAAAAACACCGATAACCAGCTCTCGACTAATTCTGCCCTTTAACAGCATAGGTTAACCAAACATCAAGTTTTCTCTAAACACCGTTCACCTACATTTTATATTTTTGACCTCGCATACAAATCCAACACCTCGGCCATGCTACAAGATTAAGCTTAAGATCGCTACCGATAGGTTTCTCTGAGTACCGAAATTCTAAATCCAATATGCGTGTACCACCTGTCCATTTTTTCGCCCCTTTTCCATTATCGCATACTCTACCGGCTTGACCATCGTCGTTAAAGCCTCGCATTTAAAGCCCCCGTTTTTAGTGCCTATGGTCAGAGAGCCTGCCGTGATTAAGAGTTCCCGAGACGGATAGTTAAAAGTGCCTTTGTCACGCGCGCGTTTATCCGAAGTCCTCCCGAACGCAGGATACGGGGCACAAAACGAAACGGCGGAAGCCGGATATGAAGCTGATCGAAAGCCTGGCCCAGCCCGTAGGCAGAGAGGTCGGCGAGGTGAGAGATCCATTTAGAGTGGCAAAGGGCGCGCTCAACTACAAGATCACCGACCGCGTGAGGAGGCTCGCAGTGAGAAAGAATCCACCGGAAATTCATGCGCCCCGTATTCCAGGGGGGGTCTCCAGGGCCGCGACCAGAGCCATAGGTAAGCTCGTCGTTTCCGACCGCCCTCGATTCTCGCACCTAGTGTACGCCCCTTTGTGGAGCGGTCCTGGCGGATCATCGTTACATCATTCCGCAGCTACGCCGAGGCTGATAACGCTGGCGAAGCCGGCGGTGCGCCCCGCGGGATTGGTGACAGACCTGAAGGAAGATGCCTTCAGTGTCCCACCCCGAGCTCTGAAAGCGGTCTGCACCCCCAGGACCAAAAGACTCGCCAGGCCCAGGACCTACGGCAAGAAGTGATCCCCTGGACTGGCGATCGATCCGAAAACAGCAAACCGTCGACGGCCTGCACACGAATCGTGGTTCCGAGTCTACTTTAAAGTGTATCGTGCACGTGTATGTCTTAATTTTGGTGGTAAATACCCTTGTTTTGTCTGCATTCTTCAAGCTACATGGTTGATGCTCCTGAGATGGACGAGAATCTTGGGGTTGATGGAAGCCCTGTGTTTTTTCACGGGTTATCGATTCGAGGGAAATACGGAATAAGGCGGTGAATTGAAGACCAATAAGACTTTTAATTAACAATTGGATTTAATTCCTTTAGCGATCGCGCATCGTCTCAACTCTTTCGTTACCTTGGACGAGATATCTCGCGACCCAATACTGGCCGATTAACGCTTTTGACGAAATATCTCGCGACCCGATACTGGCCGATCAACGCTTTTGACGAGATATCTCGCGACTCAATACTGGCCGATTAACGCTTTTGACGAGATATATCGCGACCCGATAATGGCCGATCAACGCGTTTGACGAGATATCTCGCGACCCGGTAATAGCCGATCAACGCTTTTGACGATAATCTATCGGATCTATCTATCGGATCGCGAGATATCTCGTCAAAAGCGTTGATCGGCCAGTATCGGGTCGCGAGATATCTCGTCAAAAGCGTTAATCGGCAAGTATTGGGTCGCGAGATATCTCGTCAAAAGCGTTGATCGGCCAGTATCGGGTCGCGAGATATCTCGTCAAAAGCGTTAATCGGCTACTACCGGGTCACGAGATATCTCGTCAAAAGCGTTAATCGGCCAGTATTGGGTCGCGAGATATCTCATCCAAGGTAACGAAAGGGTTAATTAGACATCTGATTATTCGTCTCAGCCCGTCTCGTAAACTATTCGATACGCTGATGAGTGGGGGACAGTATTGAAATTCGGTAACGGAAAACACCCTGAGTATATATTTTTTTTAGGAGTTACGGTTGTAAGGGGCTGTTCGGATTGGGTAGTTCCGAGATTCTTTTGTTGGATTAGGGGAAGATTTAATAACAACTCTACCGGATCATCGTTATATCATTCCGCAACAACGCCGCTGATATCGCTGACGAGCCGGCGGTGCATCCCACGGGATTGGATATGGACCTGAAGGAAGACGCCTTGAGCGTCGTACCTCGAGCTCTGAAAGCGATCTGCTCCGCCAGTATCAATTAGAAGGCTCGCCAGGCCCAGAACCTACGGCAAAATGTCGCCTACGACAAACGTGAAATGTGATCACCTTGCTGAGTGTATCCTGGGTCTGTGTTCGCTTCGGAAACGGAAACGGCATCGCCGATCACCTGGGTATGAATCGTGGTTTCGAGTCCCCTTAAGGTGAAGTGAAACCCCCTTTAAATCAGTCGGATTCGGATACAAGACTTCTTTTTAAGGGTATTAGACCAAACTGTCCAAAACTTTGACACATCACTCCTGATCATCTAAGAATTGTCCCGACACATTGAAAATTTGGATTTTTGGAAAATATTTTTTAACTTAGCCCAGACCAAAACCAAAATGGCGTCGAGCTCTCATATTTCGATCAATATGCAATTATCGAAGGCTCTGATATGAGAAACTAAAGGGTAAGGACAATTTTACGACAATTTAGAACACTCTGGTAATCGATGAACTCGCATTTGAACGGGATAAGGGCAAAAAAAGTGTTGTATACGCGTTTATGCAAAAACGATGAGAATACGAGGTCTCGAAGTGAAAATTTAATTGACCTGGAAATCACAGATGGCGCAGGGGTCCCGCTGCAGTCAATTAGGGCCCCAGAAAGCATGAATCCAGAGGATTTCTGGAGTTTTACTTCGATTTCTTGATATTTATTGTACGAAAACGACAGGTGAAGTATGCCATTAGGTACAATCTCGAATATAATTCGATACAGCTGTCAATATAAAAACGAACGTCGGCAACGTAGGCATTTAGAAAAATCTTCTTTATTGACGTCGATCAAGTTCCTCGACGTGTTTCACTTCACCTTAACACGTTGACTGCCACGCGCATTTTATTTGACTGATATGTCACCCGAATGTGGGTGACGTGGCAGTCGACGTGTTAAAGAGTATCATGTATACGTTCGTTATGGTTTTGGCAGTAGATACCCTCGTTTTGTCTGAATTCTCCTAGTGACATGGTTAATGTTCCTGAGAAGGGTAAGAATCTTGGAATTAATGAAACAACACTGGGTAGAGGAGGCCGGGGCTAGTTATCGCATTTAAGCCTAATAATTTTATATAAATCTCCTGCTAAACTTGCAAATTTGAGCTTTTCGTCATCGAGGAAGTACATCTTGTAATTTTCATTCATTTTGATGTCAATGTATTAACATATTTGAGTTTTTTTTATATGAAAAGTATAACCACTCGTCCTACAATGGGGCATGTTGTTACAGTATAACATTGTGTTAAATCATGCATAAATGCGGTGAAGAACACAAAGCAGCAGAAAAGGAAATTAGAGCTCATAATTTATTTAAATTTCCGAATAATGCAAATAACGTCACTTGCGTGTAATGGACCATTCTCCCTGCCGCTTTCACAAACCCACTTCTTGCATTTTGGGCAGTGGATTTTCACTCGTTGTTCTGCAGAGAACCGAGGAAGGAATAATTTAAATAAAGGTTTCTTAAATGCATGGGGCAGTTTTTGCGGTTTAACGATCGGTCTGAATTCATTCTAACAACTAACTTCGAGTTGTAGTCGCGAAGCACATTCTTGATTTTGGTAGTGGCATATCGGGCAGTGGGCCACGCGGCCGAACCGGAAGGCGTCACCGAGCGCCGGCTAGGTGGAGTGTGTGTCGTGCAAGAAGTGCGTAGGACGGCGGGCACGCATAGAGATACGCTACGGGTACCGGTGACCGGGTTCTGTTTAACCGTTTGAGTACCAGAGGTTTTTAAAATACACGGTCGAAAAAAGCCGATCAGAGCAATAGCACTTTCTGAATGGGATGCGAAAAGATCCAAGCGGGGCGATAGCGCTCTTTTTATTCTATGTCGAAAAATTTGTCTGAAAATTCGTCTGGTAAGTTGAGCGCGTTTCGTCAGATTGTGAGTGCGCGGTCAATTGTCCGTACCATTCAAATGCACAGGATTTTTTCGACATGAAATCTGAAGAGCGCGAAAGCGGCGCGTGGGACTCAAACGGTTAAATAATTGTAAAGGCTCGGACCTCCTACGGAGTGTTTTTACTTTACGTAAAGAAACCCTCTTCTAAAAGTAACGCAATTAAATAAATCAATATTGAATAAAATTCGAGGTGAATATGAGGAGAACGTATGGGTATAATGCTCATGATATTCTTTAAGTCCTTTTACTCGATATCGCCTATCGATCACTCTTAGAAAAATTTACTTTGCCCTTGTCGAAACACAAGAAGGGATGAAATATAAATGTTTCGAAAGCTTTCTTAATCAAACTACTTGTAGTAGACATTTATCGAATGGGTCTCGTGATGTGTCGAGATGGAGGTGCTGCACCTAGCGGAAGATCTTGGAAACTCCCTGCAGCATCTTACCTCTTGTAACAACTACCCCTGGTCTCCCCTACTTCTTTTTTTTTCTTTTTGAATGGATATCCATAGTTGTAAGCGGTTGTCCGGAGTGGATGATTCTTTCCATGTTGGGCCAGGGAAGCATTTAGTAGCTGGCTATCTCGGCTAATGGGTTAATATGATGGGCGATTTTGTATTCAGGGCAGAAACTCGACACCATTAGAGGAGCCTATTCATCTGGACCGACCTTTGGTTACGTCGTAACGCCCCGACACATAGCTGCATTGTGGTCCTTGGTAATTTGAATACTTTCGCGGAGCACGTTTTACCCCGTTATTAGTTATATCTGTCTCGCCTACTTGTTTGCTTCTGCAGTAACAACGGCCTTGAAGGAAATGACGAGAGGGCTGGTATTCCTTCTTGGGCGATTTATCATTCGCTCCTTTCTCACCACCTGACGCTACCATTAACGATGAAAACGATCTGTTCGAAGTAATGTAATGGAAGTTCCTGCGCGACCGGAAAAAAAAGCGGAATGATCTCTTTAATTCTTGAATTCTTGGATCCGAGGTATTTCGATTCGCTCTGAAATTCATGCACGACTGGCGATATACGGTAACTGTGTCGGAAGAATCCGAAGATTGACAGGAATGACGAATAGAGATCATCGTGGATAATACTAGGTGTTTGGAAATTAATTATTCAAACGAAATGTGCACTTCATCGTAACGATTCGAATCCCAGTAATTACATCTCCGCCTGAGTTCTCATCGGAATATACCGATTCCCAATTGTTACATGTTTAACAGTTGCATTAATGATAACACTAATTTCACGCGAGTATATCTACGCATTACTTTGCAGAAATTATTTTGTAATAATTCGCAAGAAAACATGGTTAATTAAAAATGTATGGCTATGAAACGGATTACATAGAAATTACTATTAACATCGTATTAAAAACAGCAAGTATTGCGATCTTATCAGAATAGTTATTTACGGAGTACACAGAGATTGATCAAATTTAACGGAGTTTTATTTCTATCAGGAATCGGTTGTGAATTTTTCAGTTCAACCGTTAAAAGGCCGGTTTCATTCCCGAGTTTTGCCTACCAAGTAGCTAGACTCCATCGTAATAAAGTGTTGAAGCCGAGCGGTGGGAACATTGCGATTCCTTGATCCACGATTTATCACTCCACCCCTCCTATCGGCTCTACACTACCATTAAGGGTGAAAACGATCCGAGTGACGTAATGCGACGGAAGTTTTCGTACTCGGGGGTAAAAAGAAACGTGCGAAATCGTTATTTATCGAGTGCGATATTTCATAGGTGACATTCACACTTAAAGTTGGATGTATTTTTGTCACGGCAAGACCGCGTTAAAGAGTGGAGTAATAAGCTGGGAAAACTTGGAGCGGCCTCTTCATTGGCTTGTTGCTTCCAACTTCGCTCTCGAGCATGGCTCAGAAACTAACGTGGATAAAT